GATATTGATGTGAGACGCTTACCAGCATTTGTCTGGACACTACCAGAGCTTCTGAACAGATGACAGGCTCTTTTTATGCTTTCATTCTTCTCATTTTGAAAGCCCAGTTTCGTTCTATCCATCTCTAGATCGCTGGCCCAGACTGTATCTATGGCTTACCAGCAGTCAGACAAGTCACCGTCTAATCAGCTTTAGGCTCGCTCCACAGAGTGCTGTCTACCTCCACTGTATCAAGAGTAGAATCAAGATTCTTGACATCTACCGTGCAGCAATATGATCTATGCCATCTACCTTTACAGAGCACTACTGTCGACATGTAGGAACACGCGATTACACTGGATTTGGCAGAAATGTGTTGTCATCCTTCCTACCGTGACGTCCCACCTGCCAATAACTTAAGCTTGCCAGTCACCCTTATGTGTGCATTCACAGAGGCCACAAAGAAGAAAGACAAGTTACTTACCTGTAACCATGGTTCTTCGAGTGGACCTCTGTGAATTCACACTACCCACCCATCCTCCCCTCTGTCCGTCATGGGTATCTTATTCTTGTATAACTCTCGTGCCCGGTGGACAAATTGCAGGAACTGAGGGGAATCTTGGGTTGGAGGAGCATGTGCCTCATGGGGAATCATCCCATAAAATGGTTACTTTTAGCTCTAGAATACTCCGAGAACATCAGCGCAAGCGCAGACTTAACCCTTATGTGTGAATTCACAGAGGTCCACTAGAAGAACCATGGTTACAGGTAAGTAACCTGTCTTTCTTCATGCAGAGTCTCATTTAAATGATGCAGTTTGAAAGTATGGAAATGCAAGTAGATGAATAGGTACCACCTCGGTGGGAAGGTAATGGCATTCTGTGTCTAGTCCCGCTGGCCATGTGACCACGGAAGATTGTCTTCAGACCAAAACGCTAGCTCTATGGTTTGGAAATGGGGATGAGCACTGTGCCCTGGATTTGGACACAACTGGTAAAGGGGAACCTTTACCTTACTTTCCAAATTGTCAAGGGGAACCTTTACCTTACTTTCCGTGGATACAATGGTGACACATGATGGTATTTCCCCTAGGCAGGCTTTGTGCTGGTGTGCTTACACTGGTATCAATATTTATTAATTAATCTAACATCTTATCTTTAACCTGTAAACAGGGATAAAGATGTGGGTAACAGAAGATGGGTTTGTATGATACAATAAGCTACTCAACCGTATGAATGTTTGTGTGTTATGAACAAGCAGTGTGTTGATACATAGAATACAGTCACTCCTATTTACAGTGAAGGTAGTTAAGCAATAGAGCATTCCTCTTAAGTTTCTTTATCGTGTCACCTGAACACAGGCATATCAATTTGTTTCATTCCCAAGAAGAAAGGGAAACAAATAATGAACTGTGGATTTTTTTGCTAGTTTGTTGAGAGAGATATCAGTGAGGGGAACATGCAGAGAAGCATATAGTACAATCCATAAACAAGCCATGAAAAATGTTCAGAGATTTAACTGCTCTAGCCAAAATTAGGAGCAATCAAACAGTATTTAATAGTGTGCTGTAACTAATAAGCCAGAGCTTGTAGAGTACCAGTGGTTGCCAGTGTGAGGACAAGAAAAGGTTCAAACAGAGGAAGGATTGCACTGGAGTTGGGGTTATATTCCTCTGGTCAGGAACATTTATAGATTGAGATGTTAAGCATTGGAATTTATTAACCAAAGCACTGTCTTTAGACTTCTTTGATATATTTTAGTTGTTGTAGGAACCAGTTACCATGCATTGTTGTTCAGAAATTACAACATCGGAAGTTTTGAATTTTTCTTTTCTTTTTTTTGAGAACTTAAATAATAATAATTGTAATTAAATCAATTTATACTGTATGGTTTGGAAATGGGGATGAGGCGCCTCGGTTAACGATGAATCCGCATAGCGACACATTTTTTGCGATCGCAAAAGCGATGGCATTGCGATGTTCTCAATGGCTAAAAATCGCTTTGCAATGATCAGTAAGCGTTTCGCTTACCGATTTTCGCATAGCGATGTTTTGGGAACAGCTGATCGGCGGTTCCAAAATGGCCACCGGAAAAAATGGCCGCCCGCAGCATTTTCGCGCCCTTTACTCGCTTACTGGGCAGCGAAAATGGCGGCCGCATGGAGGATTTCCGCATAGCGGCGAGTTTACAGCCCATAGGAACGCATTAAACGTGTTTTAATGCGTTCCTATGGGGTTTTTTGCCCCGCATAGCGACAAATCTGGATAGTGACGATTTTTTTTGGAACAGATTATTGTCGCTATGCAGGGCACCACTGTATTATTTAAAATATGCATCATAGAACTGTCACACAGCAAATAAAGCTTATTGTCTTTATAAATACTGTTTGCAATAACAAAACATGCTTGGTAATAATTGTTTAAGAATAACAAATGAGGAAGCAGACGTACAAAATATAGCAGTTACTCTTTAAAGTACCACAACGTTTTACTTTAAAGAGTTTTTATTTTTGCCTGGTATGCTAGCAGACTAGCACAGCTATATCTTCTAAAATGAAAATTATTTCATAAAAAGTATATGCCTTTGAGAAATAACCTTTCAAATACTCTTCTCCTTTTCAGAATCGAGAGCTTCAAATCATGAGAAAGCTCGATCATTGTAACATTGTCAGATTGCGCTATTTCTTTTACTCCAGTGGAGAGAAGGTGAGTTGGAAAGGCATACAAGAAGCTAATTATTTGGTTCTTTAGGATTGTGTATGATGAGTTTTGTGAGCAGTGGGGCCAACCTCTGGCAATTTCTTATTATTGCCACCATCCTCTGTACCTATCCCCAGAGGCAAAGAATAAGGGAGTGAATTAGCCGTGGCAAGAAGAAGGAGTGATTGCATGACTTCAAAAAGAGGCAGAAGCAAAGATGTAGGATTCAAAAAGTGATTTTCCTTATAGGATTTAGTTTCCTTAGCATCATTGGGGAAAGGGTGACAGCTGGGCAACCACTAATGGCCCTCATTTCCTTGCATTGATCCCTGTGCTTCAAAGAAAGGGAAAAAGAAGTTGAATTATGTTGTCAAAATAGCAACATTGTTTTGAGTTTATCCCCCTCCCAACAAACTAGGAATAAGCTTCCATATGGAATGAATACATCGGCAACAATAAAGTTTTATGACTGCTCAGTTGAACTGTGATTTGCAAAGTATAATTGCAAATGGCACAGGTTGGGAACTCTCATAACCTCATGCTTCTTACACGTTGCATTTACAGTTTGTAAAATGTTTTGGTTTGTTTCCTCTAGTTCTTTTATTCTGTGCTTCATAGCATCTAGTTTCTCTTAAGTGCATTTGTCCCAGTAGACTTTGGAATAAGATACTTTAAGTTTTTCTTCATATATTGAAATAAGATGGTTTAAAATGATCACATTCAGTAATTCTTATATCCAATGAAACCTTTATATACTACATGATATGGCAGTTACAAACATAACATATCCCATACACCAAAATTTAAGCATTTGTCCTGGGACACTGCTTGATTTGAACATAGACATGTTTTGGTAAGACTTTTATTCTATATGTGTTGTGATTGTGTACAGTAGTACCGTGGTATCCACTGGGAGTTGGTTCAGAGCCCATGCCAGAAATTGTGGATAATAGCAAACTCTCTCTATATAGCATAGTTTATGGTTCTCTCTCTAGTGACCAACTCTGGTAACTACATTATGGAAATACATATTTCATTTTTTTCATTGAATATTTTTAATATTTTCATACTGTGGATAAGTGAAATTGTGGATATTGATCGTGTGGATGTGGAGGTCCTACTGTACTAAATGCACAGTTTTTTAATATATTGTTCTTGTAGTGTTTTTAAATGAATTCATGATGTCCGTTTTCTTACTTTTTGGCTTTTCTAGAAAGATGAGGTATACCTTAATTTGGTTCTAGACTACGTTCCTGAAACAGTATACAGAGTTGCCAGGCATTATAGTCGGGCCAAGCAGACACTCCCCATGATATTTGTGAAAGTAAGTGAAATGAAAAGAAAAGTTTGATATTGTTTGTTGGTTGTTACATCAGATGTAGGCCAAGTTCACAGGTTCCTCTGTGTAAATGCAGAGATCTTCCACTCATGTACTTCCTTCTAATGGAAATGTTTGCTTTTGATGCTGTCTGGCTCCATTTCTACCAGTCCCACAGGCCATGCATTCATGCAGACCTGGCTATTGTCCTGTTGAACCTGTCTTGATGGGTTCTCCTTTGTTAAACAGAGGAACTGCTGTTGTTTTTGTGGGTCACTTCAGCCTTGTTAACTCCTGATGTAGATAGTCAAGATCTGCCTTTTTCAGATGACAGTAGACCATTTTCTGAGGGAATGTTGAGAAGTTTTCATTTACTGGACCTCAGAGATCATCAAGCAGAGGCAGCTGTTTCAAACCTGTGTTTTTCAAGCTGTGTGGATCGACCCAACCTTCTCCTATAAAAACAAATTGATACACTGCCATGAAACCTGATAATGTTGAGATTTGAATTCCTAAACCACCTGTTGCATACAATTAAGTGTCCCATCACATCAAATCTCTCTGAATATGAATCCACTACATACTTTTGTCTTTGGACTGCAGTGATAGATTTAGGAAGAGAATACTAGATTCCTCTGGGACAAATTTCATACCAGTTTCCTGTAAGTGGATGTCACTGAGGGGAATGTCTGCACACACACACAAAAATCTTTGAGTATGGAAGGTCAAGAAGTTTCAGAATCACAAGCTGGGTGGAGTACTCGCCACAAGAGGTGGCACAATGTTTCTTCATGGAGCCACAGTGGTGGTGAAGTAACATACCAGTACCTCTCACCAAGTGACCAGTTGCAAATCTGAAACAATAATTTTGACAGCACACTGGGCTTTATTCTGTTCTTGGGACCCAATCTTGTATTGAGATCCTTCCCTTTGGAGGGACAATGTTTCTGGTGCTCAAAACTGTGTTGAAAAGTTAAAAAGCACTATCAAACATATGGGTTGGGTGCTCAACAGCAGCTCTTAGGTTCTCAGCCATGGTACCAAGAGATGGCTGGTAAATATCCTTTCTGTACTTTGGAGCTGATACCTTTTCATCTGACTCTTTTGCAGACCTTAAAGAGATCCTACTTGTCTTTGAAATTCCACCCAGTTTCTTAGGAAGCCTGTTAATGCCTTTAAACAGTAACAGTGTCTCTTTATTACTCTCTTTATTACCACTCGCCCAGCCACTATTTTCAACAACAGATAGCCTCTCGTGGTGTGGCATAGCATAACAACAAATTCTTTGAGTGCTACAAGAAAATGCAATAAAATGTGCATCTCTTATCAGGGAGAGATCTGCTTTCATGATAGACCCAATTCTGTGCTACAATCTGTTGGGCAGTTCTCTAGGATTTCCTTCAAGGATTTCCTTCATGGGACAGGATGGAGCTAGAATGCATACAAAATCTTTTCTGACCAAATCATAAAGAAAATTTTGCTGTGGACTTGACTGCTTATTATATTGCTGCAATTTTTATTACATTTTGGAATTGTTTTGATCAATTATTTCTATGTTGTTAAGTGCTTTCAAGTTCCTAGCAGATTTTTTGGAAACTCGTATAAGGCGAGGGATTTTTTAAAAGTTCACATATAATGAAGAAAAGGGCGTTCTATATAGATTCTGTTGTAGATGATTGCCTTTAATCACATTTACGTATTTTAATGTTCTAGTATTCTAGAACATTTGTATTTTAAACTTGTCATGTCAGAGCCTGAATATGTTACTTTATTGTCTCAGAATCTCCCAACAACATCTGCTGTTTTTTTGTTTAAACAGTTACTTCTGAGATTTGTAGTTTGTAAACTAACTGAAGGGACGTGGTGGCGCTGTGGGCTAAACCGCAGAAGCCTGTGCTGCAGGGTCAGAAGATCCAGCAGTCGTAAGATCGAATCCACGCAACGGAATGAGCACCCGTCGCTTGTCCCAGCTCCCGCCAACCTAGCGGTTCGAAAGCATGCAAATGCGAGTAGATAAATAGGGACCACCTCGGTGGGAAGGTAAACAGCGTTCCGTGTCTAAATCACACTGGCCATGTGACCACGGAAAGATTGTCTTCGGACAAACGCTGGCTCTATGGCTTGAAGAGCGGGATGAGCGCAGCCCCCTAGAGTCGGACACGACTGGACAAAAAAATTGTCAAGGGGAACCTTTACCTTTACCTTTAAACTAACTGAAAAGTAAGAAGCTTTGCATCTTTCAGTGTTACGATGCAGAAACTGTATATTATGTGACTTTTTTAATGTTTCAGTTATACATGTACCAGCTATTCCGAAGTTTAGCCTATATTCACTCTTTTGGAATATGCCATCGGGATATCAAACCACAGAACCTTTTACTGGATCCTGACACAGCTGTCTTGAAACTTTGTGATTTTGGAAGGCAAGTAAACTAAGCTACTACTGTATAATTGAATATTTATAATTTTCACAGTGATCTTTTTATTGAGTTTATTTTTGATAATTTTGATTAGTCTACTTGCAGAGTCCTAAATATCTCTTTTAGAAGCCAGAAGACTGCAGAATTGTTGTTGTTTGTATTTTAATACTGGGTATAATAAAGTTACATAGCAATAGTAGCTGTGTAACTTCAGAAGCCATGTTGCAACCTATGCTACAAATGCACATTAGAAATGATAATAGGGGGAATACTAAGTAAATTTATCAATTTATTCTGTCTTCCCTGAGACTAGAAGGGATATATTAAAAATATAATTACTTAAGAGTAGTATGGGAAGGTACTTCAGGTGTCTGTTATTAATGATTTGACCAGGCCTCTGTTTAGTATATACACATGGTTGAAAAAATTTTTAAAGGAAGGGTTAGTTAGAACATGTTCCTCCTTACCTAATAATATGAAAAGGATGTGCTACTTTGGACATGGAGGTAAGGCAATTATATGGTGGGGCCAGTCCTAGATGTTATTGTTTTTGGGTTTGGTTTTTTTTGGTAACAGTGATGAGTGATCTGGAGTCTCTTGGTGCATTTGTAGTCTCCATATTTCCTTCATGCATGTAAAAGGGGAGGATCTAAAACAGAGTTTGGGATTATGTAGGCCACAAACCACATGTAACTCACCAAAGCCTTTTGTGTGGCCCCAGGAGCTCCTAGAGCGAGCCACTTCAAGTTTGATAAAATTGGTAAGTGCTGCCTGTGGGGTCCAGGTAAATGAAAAATGTTTTGTGGAACTGCAGTTTCCCCAGCCTTGATCTGACTTCATGGCTACCAAGAAACTGGTTTGTTTTCACTTCTGAATGGGGCAAATTATTATTTTTTATTTCAACAATGATCTCACAATCTTTGCCTTCAGTTTTTCTGCTTCTGACAGTCATCATTATGATTCCTTTTTATAGATTAACAGGCATTCCATATATCCAAGTATCACATCCCTTAGATAGTACTTGTTGAAAAATATTTTTGCATTTCAAGTTTAGTTTCAGACACCTGTGTCTCGTTGCTCAGAACCTCAATTGTCAGATTTTCCCCTTGAAATGTGAGCCAAGCCAATGATGCATGATGAGCTTAACAGAAGCCACCAGTATCTATTTTAGCTTAACAAAAGCTATTAATATTGGTGGCAAGAAAGAAAAGAAGGAAGAAGAAAAAGGATTGGGTGAGGGGAGAATCTTAACTAAATAAATACCTCAATAAGAATTATGGTGTAGGAATAAAACATCAAGTATTTTTACAAGAATGGTAACTTAGAATGTAAAAGCACAGGGAATCGGCATTATGATTGCTGATTTTATGACACCATATTTTAAAGACTATTGCTATATTAGCTAATACTCTCCTAGTGTCCCAAATTCACTTGATTGAACAGAACAGTAAGAGGGCAGAAGTAGAAAGAACAGATGAAGGAATCAAAAGCTGAGGGTGCATTTGTAGGGTGTAAAATTCCAAGCACTAAACCCCTATGTGAGCATTGAGCCTAATGTAAAAAGAGTGTTTGACTTAAAGTGACATGCATTCATATCCATTGTCAGTGAGCCAGTTGTAAGTGTGGTTCTGCTGTTCATATCATAGGCATTCTTCAATCTTGAGAGACTATGGTGACATGCTCTGAATTGAGGAGTCTCCTCTCCAGAGCATGAAGCCCGGGTAAGTAATATGGAGGATAGGCTGTTACCCAAGCAGCAGATCCCCCCTCTCCACATTGCTGAAATGGTCCAATGGAAAGGCAAGAGCCAATACAACTGGTTCCAGCAGTGTCGCAGGAGTTGGCAGAACGACACGAGCTGCCTTCGGGACTCCAGCTCCGGATTTTGCCTCTAGGTTAACTCCTGAAGCCTTTTCCATGAGTGGATATAGCCACAAGGCAGTGGAGGTTTGAAATCGAAGTTTTCCTTCTCCTAGATGGGCTGCGTTCTATGGCTGACGAGCCCCACCTACCCGGCCTGCTCTTTAATAGTGTGGAAGTATCATCTGACCCTTAAAATTTCCCGCCTCCCAGGCTTATGCAAATCTAATTGGCTTTCCTATTTGCCATATTAAGGCCAGAGATAGAATTTGAGAATTTCGCGCGCCCCAGGCCATGTGGTGAGGAGACAAAAAGAAACCCCAGAAAAAAACTCAGCAAAACATCCATGCAAACATACCTGGCCAGCTTCCTAGGGAAAAGGGTCCTGGGTCCTGGGACACGCTCTGTATTCTGCTGTATTCAGGGGCGTAACTAGTGTAGCATTTTTTAAATCCACAGTGACCAACTAGATGTTTGTGGGATGCCTAGAAGTTAAATATGAGCATAGTCACATATTCAGGGCTGTGCTTATGTTTCCTTGCAGTTGGTATAAAGAGGCAATTCCTAGGGAAAAGGGTCCAGGGTCCTGGGACACACTGTGTATTCTGCTGTATTCAGGGGCCTAACTAGTGTAGCATTTTTTTAATCCCCAGTGACCAACTAGATGCTTGTGGGATGCCTTGAATTTGAATATGAGCATAGTCACATATTCAGGGCTGTGCTTATGTTTCCTTGCAGTTGGTATAAAGATTGCTTAGGATAATGCAAGTAATGTATAGTTATCATGACTAGTAACTATTGGTAGTTCAATAGTTACTAGTCCCTTCACGGACTGCTGCCTTGTTGTGGCGAGGGGGCTTGAGTAATTCAGAGAAGCTATGGGTTATGCCATGCAGGGACACCAAAGATTGAAAGGTCATAGTGGAGAGTTCTGACTAAACGCGATCCACCTGAAGCAAGAACTGGCAAGCCACTCCAGTATCTTTGCCAAGAAAACCCATGGACAGAAACAAAAGTCTAAAAGATATCACACTGGAAGATGAACCCCTCAGGTCGGAAGGCGTCCAACATGTTATTGAGGAAGAGTGGAGAACAAGTACAAGTAGTTCCAGAGCTGATGAAGTGGTTGGGCCAAAGCCGAAAGGACGCTCAGCTGCTAACGCATGTGGAAGTGAAAGGAAAGTCCGATGCTGCAAAGAAGAATGCTGCATAGGAACCTGGAATGTAAGATCTATGAACCTTGGTAAGGTGGAGGTGGTCAAACAGGAGATGGTAAGAATCAACATTGACATCCTGGGCTTCAGTGAACTAAAATAGAAAGGTATTGGCGAATTCAATTCAGACGATTATCATATCTACTATTGTGGACAAGAATCCCGTAAAAGAAATGGAGTAGCCCTCATAGTCAGCAAAAGACAGGGAAAAACTGTAATGGGATATAATCTAAAAAATGAGAGAATGATTTCAATACGAATCCAAGGCAGACCTTTCAACATCACAGTAACCCAAGTTTAT